ATAAGATCGATAAAAATTTCGAATTATTTAATTTTAATTATAAAAATTTAGAAAAATTCTATTAGGTTGTGTGATAAGGAATACCAAATTTCTGATTATTTAATTATTTAAGTGACTACTTGAATATTGGAAATTTCTAAGATTTTTAAGAATTTAAGGATTCGTATCAAGGCGACATTTCACGTTACATTATTTAATATACCTTTGAAGGCTCATGAAACCTTTCATTTCATATTTTCTTCACAAATAAAGCAACGTACGACATACTATATGTAAACATATTGCGACATTACGTGATACACTTACACTAAAGAATATCTGTCTTTACGAGAAAACATTTATATTTGCGTGCATACGATGCAATCAATATCGAGTATAATAATGAAAGAAAGAAACGGTAATTACTTCAATGAAACCTCGTTCCGTGAAAAGTGTTAACAATGAGTTGTAAAGCAGTGATTAATTAAAAACAAGTAAATCGTTTTTGAAAGATGTTTTTAACGAGAGAAGGAGAAGAGAGAAGAGATGTGCTTTATTTTGTATGAAAGAGATTAGGCGAAGTCTTACCAATTTTAGTCGGGCAATCAGTCTCGCATGCGTCCCTAGATTCGAAATTATTTTTATTTCCACCGCAACCGGTATAATAGAATGGCATGCATCGATTCTCCGACGGATCAAAGTACCACCGAGATTGCTTCTCATCACAGTTACCCTCGGCTCGCGGCAGCAAGCAACTATCTGTTAATCGCATTAATTATTACACCATGCAACATTAATTCTCCTGTAACGCCAACTTTCTGCGATTTTCTCGAAAAATGAACGAACCATTCGATAAAAAAATTCTTCATTTTTATGTTAATTTTTAATATTTGATATTTAAATGAGAAAGCCTCTGAATATTTGAAACAGTGCAACGTTCGATTTTTTCATTTCGTTCTGTGAGTTATAAATTAAAGACAAATAAAATCGCAGAAGATTAACTGATCTATTATAACTATGCTTATAACGAATATCTCCTAAATTCCTGAAAATGTAAGCGTTATTTCTTGCAGAACCTTCACCACAGAGTACTGCTGTCTGAAATAGAACCGAACGTTTGCGTCGAATTCGTACAAACTTTTCAACATAATTTCTCCAATTTAATCAACGAAAAGAGAATCTCCTCGATACCATATTCAACGCAATCGTTCAGCGAAGATTAATAGAAAAAAATTACACTGCTCCATCGAGAAAGCCCTTTCCAGGCCAAACAAAAGCTCTTTTTCGATCGCTTTCGAGACGAGAACTGCCCCGTGGAGGACACAATGCAACATTGAACGCACAGTGGTGTGCCAGCACGATAGTTCGCGTGCAGTCTGAACGTAAAAAGAGTGCTATTTCTCCCTCTGTACGCAGCTGTGTGAGATTAAAGGCGACGCGTGCGTATATCGATCATGAGATCGATTGCAAGATACAGAAACAACCGACGTTATCCACAATGAGATCCGTCAGAATCACAGGGGTGCGTTTCTCTCGTTAGCCGTGCTTTGCAGCGATGAAAAAGGGGAGAACAACAAAGGAACCAACACCAACGACAACATCGAGAGTCGTTTCCCGATTGTACAGGCTGCTTCGAAAAACTGTTAATCATTGAACTGTTCAAAAAATCTTAATTTTCTTTGGCAAAGAAACTCAAACAAGTGGAGACTCTTTTATGACAAAATACATTTGTCAACATGATATACATATATGAGAGGGTTAAAGTCACAGTGGTGTAAGTCATATTTCCAAAAATTTGGACCCAAAAACTTGGACTTAAAAAGTCAAGTGAAGTAAGTTATAATTGGGACATGCTATCTGGTAACACTGAATACGATACAGTACCAAATTTGATGCTGTGGAATTTATTTGATCATTCTTAATAAAATTCTCTGTTTCTCACAATAAAGAAATTTTGACTTACACCGCTATGACCTCAACCCCCTCGTATTATCACTTATGTTTGTCTAAAAGAGTTACTTCTAGTTAGGTGTTAAAAGTTTTCAGAAACATCCTGTGCAACGATAAATCATCACAAAGAACAGCAACACTCGCGAGAAACGACTCTCTATTTCTACAGATTGCAAGAGCGACGTTGTTATGCACGAAGCAGACAAGCGATTGTTCTTTAATTTCCTTGTCTCTTTTGCCCTGCTACATTTCCGTTCAACTTTTTTCCCCCCTGTTTTGCTTTTTGTTGATTTTTGCACATTTTCTGATACCTTTTACGGGGCAGCGCTGCTCGCAGGCAGCGAGCGTACGGAATTTATTGGCGTTGCCTTTACAACCGCCGTAAACAAATTGGTTACACATCTGACGCTTGGCGTCATAATACCAGCGTAACACCGAGCCCGGACATGGCCCGGGATCTTTCTCCAGGCGGCACACTTCTGTCAGTTTTACTGGAAATACGTATATTTGCACGGATTACTAAATTTTTCGTCAATGGTCGATGCCAATTGGTGCTCGAATGTGGCGTATGGTGCCTGAATATGTTTTCCTGACATATCGTGTGTCTTGTGTTGTTCAGAAATAACGATACGAATTGAAATGATCAATTTCTGTTGTGGTGCAAATGAGTGAGAGTAATCGCTGAATGTGTTCACCTGATAAATGATTTCTCTGACGATTTATCGTCATTCTTTTCTCATCCACTGATCGTACTTTTAAAATTCGATCGATGAGAAAAAAATTCGTTTTATCAAACCCACAACCTTGTCTAATTTTCTCGATATTCCTCTCTATGAGTTACTTCTAGTTCCCCCGCCATGTCGTGTTGTTAGCTGTGTGTCTTTTCTTTCATGTTCGACAAAAATCGATGTAAAAAAGGCACTTAAAAAATAAAAAATTGCCACACGAAATAAAAATTTCCGTCGATTTTGTTCTACGAACAAAACAAATAAAATACTTCTGAAACAACGTCAAATGTAAAAATCTAACGAAAAAGATGGTTCAGGCAAAAAAAAAAAAAGACGAGCATGTTACGTGCGAATTGAGAATTAAAGGGATTGGATTGGATGAGTGTACCTCGTGTTCTTCCAGGTTTCAAGCACTGTTGATGACAAGCGACCTCCGTGGCGAAGTTGTTGTCGTTGCCTTTGCAACCACCGTAGTGGAATTGCTCGCAGGCTTGCGATTCCGCGTTGTAGAACCATTTGGTGAAGTTGCCCTCGCATGGACCTGGCTCTTTAGGCTGCTCGCAAGGATCTTTGTAGATGAAAGCACAAAAATTCTCATGGATGACAAAACAGCAATAAATGAGACATAAAATTCATCTTCAGCGGTTTGTTTGATTAGAACGATAAAAATTAATAAACTACCTTGATCGTCAGGTGGGACACAAAGCTCCTCGCACTCTTCTCTAGTTTTAAATTTATTCGCGTTTCCGAGACAGCCACCGTAAATAAATTGACCGCACATCTTTCTACCAGAATCGTAATACCAAGTAGGGAAATATCCCTCGCAGGGTCCAGAGATCTTCGGTAGGAAACAGGCATCTGCAAAATTATCGCAAAAATCGAGTTTCAAGTATCTCCAAATGGAAGCCGAAAATTCTCAGAATTTAAAAGTCAAAAATTCGACAGAAATTTGAAAAATTTTTAAAACGAAGGAGAACTATCGATTAACTCTGAAGCTCTCCAAGACAACTTGAAAATATCAGAAAAATTCAAAGTTTGTCGATTATTTTGCTCAAATAAAATAGTTAAAAAATAAAATAGATATTATAAACGGCAATTTCATATGCATTAACATAATAAATACGTGTGCGCTTCGTTTACCTTTTCCTTTCGGTTGCACGCACACTTCCTTGCACTCCTCCTGTGTCTTGAATCGATTGTCGTTACCCTCACAGCCTCCGTACCAGAATCGCGAGCAGCCACCGTACTCCGTGTCGAAGTACCATTTGACAGTGAAGTCCCTGCACGATCCTCTGTCTCTCTCGAGTGCACAAGCCGCGCCAGGGGTCGATGGAACCGACAGACAGCCCTCGAAGTTCTCCCCCTGCGCTTCTTCCACCCCGTCGGGGCAGCATCCATACTTCGACGCGTCGCAAGTGCATCCAGCGAAGTTTGGCCCCTTGGCTGGAGTTCTGCTGTCGGAACAGCACTTGAATTCCGTGTTCTCGCAACCGCAACCTGCAAGTTCGTAGGAATGATGCACTGTTAGTCACATTTTCAAGGTTGCTTCGCTGCATAATGCGAGTTTCAATGAAGTTGCACGGTGGGAAGGGGTAGCTCGTTAAATTTGTCTGGTCTACAACTGTTACTTATTAAGGTAAGCGAAAGGAGAAGCGAGAAACAGAGGTATTTCTGTTTCTAGAAATTTACGAGTAATAGTTTCTTGCAATTATATTATTTGCGTTTTGAGAGTATTGTTTGTACTTTAATTACAATATGTAGGAAGGCAAAAAGTAGTTCAATTTGTGTTTTTTAATTTTTGCGCTTCTGTTATACTCCAGCCTTCGAACTTCAAACTTCAGGATTTGTTCATTAACTCTTCTGTACTATTAAGCTTCGGATGATCGTTCATCCTCAATCGAATAAAATCATTCCACTTCCCCAAGTACTCGACAAATTACGTACACTAGCAGCCAAAACTTTGTGACCACTTGGCAATTTACCACTTATTTATATATTTAAAATTAACGTTCAATAGCACTTTGCTTCGTTTCGGATAAAATAAAGTAACAAAGTATTAACTGTTGCCGAAAGTTACTAATGTCTTTCCTAAACATAACACCTTGTCCCAAACATTTGACCAATCTTCGAAACACATTCCCACCACAATCGACAACCCTTACACTCACACCGCGTAGTGAAGATCCGTACCAATTAGCACCTCTATACAACCGTATAATTACCTTGTAGATGAGGTCCTTTGGCGATGGTGACACCGTCAGGGCAACATCCGAACTGATAAGTGTAACATGGACAGCCCTCGTAGTTCGCTCCTGTGGCCGGCGTGAATCGGTTAGGGCAGCAGCCGTGGGGCGTGTACTCGCAGCCGCAACCCTCGTTGCTCGGTCCACGAGCCGCGGTACTGTTGTCCGGACAACATCCGAATCTCGTGTACTGGCATCCGCAACCGTAGAAGTTCGGCCCGCGAGCAGGTAGTATATTGTCTGGACAACACTTGTAAGGTGTGGAGAGGCAGCAACCCTCTCTATTAAGACCGTGAGCAGGAGTGATACCATCATCGCAGCAGCCATAAGTGGTATTCTCGCATGCCATGTGGCAGCCGTAGTTGTTGGGTCCGAGAGCTGTGCAATTTTTATTATTTTCTTGTTAAAACGTGAAGTGATTTGTGTAATTTCCATTATTTCGGCAATGCGGTGGTTAATTTGAGAATTGGGTCGTTGGTATAATTTTTTCTTCAGATAGGAAAATGTGTGACTTCAAATTTTCGTAGAAGTGTTTGAAAATAGTAGTGTGATACGTGTAGAAGTCGGACTATTGGGTTAGCGATGAAATGGGTAATTTATGGAAGTTAGGTAAAACTGTTTTCCCAAGTTTACGTCCCGGAGGTTCCGTTAGATTCCACAAAACTGGATCTGAGTTTGACTAAGTGGCAAACCTGGTGCAACGCCGTCAGGACAGCAACCGAAGTACGATGCATTGCAGTTCTCCGCGTTGATAACACCGCATCCCTCAAAGTTCGTGCCTGTGGCAGTCGAAACTCCATCCGGACAACATCCGTAGGTTGTATTCGTGCAATCTTCTTCTACAGCAGCGGTAGTAGTAGTTTCGTATTCCTCTGTGATAACAGTGACGGAAGTAGCCTCTTCCTCGCAACCTGCGACAATCGTGACAATGCAATTCCTCGGTAATACTGTATAATTACCGTTAGCGACAATATCAATGTACCGTCTGGTCCAGAAGCAGGTGTAATTCCATCGGGACAGCAACCGAATTCAGTAACATTACAGCATCCCATATTGTTCATTCCGCTAGCTGGAGTCTCGTTATCCGGGCAACATCCAAATCTGGAATATTTTGGAAGTGTGTTAAAATTTTAATACGCACGAACGTTTTTTTTTTTCATGAAACTAACTCTGTCTCGTTGCAAGGTTTCTTGCATCCTTCGAAGTCGTTGCCCTCGGCAGCAGTGACTTCATCAGGACAACAACCGAATAACGTTTCCTCGCAGTGTGACTTGGGACAACCTTGGTTCTCTGGACCAGCGGCTGGAGAAACTCCATCGGGACAACAGCCATGTTTGGTCTCGCTGCAAGTCTTTGGTGTGGGACATCCTTGTCCGAAGGGACCTTCTGCTGCAGTAATTCCGTCGTAACAACAGCCATAGGGTGAAGTTTTACAGGTCTTCTTCTTCCTAGGAACCTTGCATACACGGCGTTTACTTGCGACATCATCTGGACCGATAGTCGTCCAGAATTCAGATACTGAAAGCAGAAGATTCACAATCAGGTGTAACTGTAAAAATTCGTTCTTAAAAACATCCTGTAGTCGTGACTTAGACATAGAAGTTAGCTTCTGTATTTGCTACTGAAACTGCGACGAATAGGAAAATCTATCTACCAATCAATTAACTAATGAAACACATAAGCTTTCAGAACTCACTGTGCGTTTTCTCAGTCACATCGGTCTCCTCCTCTTCAGTGGACGTTGTTAATCCAGAAACAGTAGTCTCAGTCACACCAGACACAGTGGTTTCACCACTTTCAGTTGTTGCACCTGACTCAGTGGTCTCTCCGGAAGCTGTTGTCTCTCCAGATTCAGTGGTTTCTCCAGATTCAGTCGTGGCACCAGATTCAGTGGTCTCTCCAGAAACAGTTGTTTCCTCTGTCGTTGTTTCACCAGATTCAGTGGTCATACCAGACTCGGTAGTTTCTGTCAAACCAGACACTGTGGTCTCAGTGGTTGCTCCAGATTCTGTAGTAGCTCCAGACTCAGTGGACTCAGTGGCTTCTGTTGGTCCAGATTCTGTTGTAGCTCCAGGTTCTGTCGTAGCACCAGGTTCTGTGGATTCAGTGGCTTCTGTTGGCCCAGATTCTGTAGTAGCTCCAGCTTCTGTCGTTTCTCCAGACTCTGTGGACTCAGTAGCTTCTGTTGGACCAGACTCTGTTGTGGCTGCAGGTTCTGTCGTAGCTCCAGACTCTGTTGACTCAGTAGCTTTTGTTGGGCCAGACTCTGTTGTAGCTGCAGGTTCTGTCGTAGCTCCAGACTCTGTTGACTCAGTAGCTTCTGTTGGGCCAGACTCTGTTGTAGCTCCAGGTTCTGTCGTTTCTCCAGACTCTGTGGACTCAGTAGCTTCTGTTGGGCCAGACTCTGTCGTAGCTGCAGGTTCTGTCGTTGCTCCAGATTCTGTGGACTCAGTAGCTTCTGTTGGGCCAGACTCTGTTGTAGCTCCAGGTTCTGTCGTTTCTCCAGACTCTGTAGGTTCCTCCGTGAAACCTGATTCTGTGCTCGCTTCAGATTTTTCCGTAACTTCTTTGGAATCATACTCGTTCTTCACTTCTGGTATCGTTGATGACTCGATCGTAGATGCTTCTGTAAAATAGTTTGAACGAATTCATTTTGATTATTGAGTAAATAATTAAAGTGAAATAAATATTTATCGATTTTCTGCTTACCAGTCTCTCCACTGACAGTCGAAACACCTTCCTCCGTGCTTCCGGTTTCCGGGGGAGACGTTGTTGCACCCGATTCCGTGGACTCTGTTGGTCCAGTACCTTCCAGTTCCCCAGATTCGGTTACCGACGAGTCTGTGCTATCTTCAGAATCTCCGCTTACAGTGGATTCTGGCTCCTCGGTGGTTTTGTCACTCGATTCTGTTGCCGTTTCCTCCGTTTCACCTGACTCGGTCCATTCCTTGCTAGCCTCCATTGTGGTTCCATCGACAGTCTCTTCGGTAACCTCAGATTCCGGCATTTCAGACTCCGTCGTGAACCGATCATCCCCTTCCGAGCTTCCGCTAGATCCACTTCCCTCAAACGTGTTCTCGAATTCTGAGGTGTAGCCGTCAGTGAAGAAACTACTGAATTCTAGCCCGCTTCCCTCGCCGCTTCCTGTATTTTCAGGAGATATGTCGCCTCTGGTATAGCCCTCGTCGCCGAGCATTATATCAACTGTGTTGCTTCTGATGGATTCGCCTGTGTCTGGTGAACTCAGTGGAGTAGCCTCGGTGAGATCATCCGTATTACTGGATTTGTCCTATTTAATTGATAAAACTTTCTTAATCCTTCGACTACTTTCGACGTGTCAGATTTTCACTATGCATTTCTTTTTTTTTTTTTTTTGTCAAAAGTGGATAATGACTCTGAGTCTGACTCGTCGTTCAGTTTGAGGCACTGTTCAGCAAAAGGGTTAATTTGAGTAAAAAGAATTGTTAAAAAAAAAAAAACACAAGGCCTAAGGTAATCCTGAACGATCGAAAAATTTAAACCTGAAAATTACACAATCTATCTTTTATAATATCCTGGATAATTTGAAGAAAATCTAAAAAGTTGTAGAATTTGAAGTAATTTCACGAACCTAAAAGAATTCAAGAACGTTCGCGTACTTTCGAAAGTTAGAAAATTTATTTCTCGTTTAAAAAGTTCCCTTCGCCTGTAAACTGATTCAACTAAGCGAGTTAATTTACAAGTCCATCGAAATCAGCTGTCAAACTTTTCACAATACACAAGACTGATTCCCATCTGTATGAAAATGACGCGAAGTATAACGCCGCGCGAAGAAGTTACGAAACTAGCTATTCGATTAACTGCAACCCAGTTTTCACTCACGCTTGACACAAGGTTGGAGAACACGGTCACGAAGTCCTCATCCTCGTAAACCTCGCACTCTTCGTCCTCGTCGGCGAGATCTTTGATCTTCTCCGGCTGCACCGGTATCACCTCGTCTGCAAACAGAATTTGCATTAAGTCAATCTGTTCCCTCGCCGGTTCCAAAGAAGCGACACTTATGAAGAATCGCTGTCTTTCTCAAAGAATAACGCTCTTACATTTGTCTTCATTTACATCGAATTTCCTTTCGCTTGATAGAAAAAGAAAACCGGTAAATTTCACGAATAATTTTTTAAAACATTTCGTCGTACAAAGCAAATGAAAAATGGAAGATGTCGCGATTCGAACGACGTAGAAATTGATCGTCGAAAAGTTCGATGGAAGAATTTATTGAAAAATTAATCGGTGCATACCTTCCTCGCACGGTTGATTGTTGCAATTTTCCGTGGAGAACATGATCGTGTTGGAGCCGCAGTTATCCGGCGGGGCCGTCATGTTGTCCTTCATGCAAATCACCTTGCGGTTCATCGTGCCGCCACCACACGGTTTCGAGCACTGGAACATGGTAAGGTGATTAATGGAAGAAATTTGAGGCGGACGCTTCTTGTTAGGCTCGCAGGCAAAGCCGTCGAAGATATTGAGTTTCTTTGGTGACCAAGGGAACCTGACGTGGTGTATTTCTCGCGAATATCTCACGCCAACAACGAGATTTTCATAGGAAAATCGATCGCTATATCCAGCGTCGTATATGTTCGTTACTGAAGGCTAAGCGATAAGAGAATATTTCGAAGTTTCCAAAGAAAATAGAAAAATTAAAGAGTTTATTTTCACTTTTTCTTTTTCATTCAAAAATTTCTGATTCTTCATAATTTTCACAGTTTTTTCTTAACTACGATTTTAAGATTTTAATGATTCTTAAATGATTCACTGGAATTTTATTCGTTATACTTTATTCGAAAATATTTTCTCAGACCTGAAAGGAAGATATAAAGTGGAAGGTAAAAGTGTCTAATGAAATTCATAGTAGGGGGAGAATGACCTTGAGCTGCGGAATATCTGAGCAGAGAAGAAATGGCACGGTATAATGCAGATTACTCCGAATATATTACCTTGCTCCATGGACCAGCGAACCATTCACCTTTGCACTCCTCCTCGGCGGTGCAGTCCTTCGTGTCGTCGAATTTCTTGCTCTGGTCGCACTTCTCCTCAGGCACCTTCTTCACCGTTTCGTCGTCGAACGTGCCGCAGAACACCTTGCGTGTCTGTATACCTGACCCACATTTCGCTGAACACTGTGAAATCCCCAAAACATTTTTCCATAAAACACCAGTTGTGCAACTGTAAACGTGATTTCTTCGTGGAAACTTGCGATCTTCCATGGAGCATCGATGAACGTTTCGAACAAACTTTCCTAATTTGAACTTTACCTAAATTATTGCAAGATCAGACGAAAATTTCTATCATTTAAATTAGGCGAATATGAAATTTTTTCTATAGTGAATAATATTTTAATGAAAAAGCAAAGAAGTATGATGAAAAAGTGAGAAGAAGTTGTGGAATGAGAAGGCGATAATTTCAAGGTGCGTTTGAAAATTCGTCACGAACTTACGCGATCGCCTAATCGATATACAATTGTGAACGTTAACACAGAGAAGAATAGTAATTAACTCACGGTGCTCCATTGAGAAGCGAACCACAGGAACTCGCATTCCTCCTTGCTCTCGCAGTCTCGACTCAATTCCGGCTTCTTCTCCGCGTCGCATTTCTCGTCCGGATAAACGGTTCCATTCTGCGTGGCACAGTGAGTGGTCCTTGTTTCTTGGCTCAGCCCGCATTTGTCGTCGCACTGACAAAAATCATCCGGTTGTTTCAAGCAGCAATTCCAACGAACAATATCGCGGCACGAGTAGAAAAAAGGGAGGGAAAAAGGACAAAAATATGGGACACTTTTTCATTTACGTGCTCTCATAATATTGCCAAAAATGTCTCTATGAGAAGCTTCTACTTTTTCGTGGGGGATATTTTAAATGGAATGGTAGAGAGCTTTGGGTGGTATTGCGTGAAAAATTGCGAGCTTACTCCACTCCAATCCGTCGTGACCCAGTCGAGACCGGCGCAAGGTCTCAATTCGCATGGTTTCTCACGCTCTGGGACCTCTCCTTCGCAAGCCTGATCCTCCAGCACTTCGATCTTGCCCTCCACCTTCTTGTAACACGTCACTCGCCTAATTTGCTTGCCTGGCCCGCATAAGTGGTCGCACTGTCGAGCAACGGAATATTAATTTCCCTACGAGTGTACTCGCGGCTTGTGCGATTCTATAAATCACTTAAAAATGTGGCCATTTAAATTATTCTAAACATTATATTGCTTCTACTATATCGTCTATATTATTATAGTTACACAATGAGAGTAAATTGAAAAATCTAAACAAGGAATATAAGAGAAGGATGAAACTATAGAGCTAAATTTCAAGGTGCATTTTCATACATTTTAATATTCTTCCATTTTGACGCTCTTTTTTCAATATTCATGACCTCTCAACCTACTTCTCCATCAAACGCGCCGCCAATTCCTGCATCCTTCGGCACTTTCTTCAATATTCCTATCGTGCCTCTAGTTAACCACAGTTGTATATCTTTCTCTCTATTTCTGCCTATAATTTTTCTTACAACAGTCTATACCTTGCCTTTACGTGTCAATAAAATAGATCATATATTCTTTTCTAGACGTTAAACGAGAACTAAGTAAATTTGACTTTTAAAGGGAAAGTACTGCATTTCAGTGGAAAGATGATTAATTCGAGGGAAGTAATTCTCACCGGTTTCCATGGACCAACGTGGTATTGCGGGCACTCCACGTCCTGGTTACACTCCTGGCTGGTCGGCCCTTTTGGTCCCACCTTCTCTAGACATTGACTATCGTCCACCACAGTGGGGATTCCGCCAGATATGACCTGCTCGCATTTGATCTCTCTGCTCTGCTTACCACCGTCGCCGCAGTGCTTGCTACAAGGACCCCACTCACCATCCACCCACACAGGTGGACACGGTTCCTCGCTACAGGCCTCTGTGTCAGCTGGTTCCATCCGTGGATCGCAGAGGTTCTCATCTACAGGTTGGTTGTCCCTTCTTCGCACACAGGCCACTCTCCTCGACTGATAACCTAAGATAGCGAATAATTTACTGAGTAACGGTGAATTTTCGACTCTCAAGTACACTCGGAAAGATAATTTTTTGAGAATTTTCGGATTTTGATGGATATCGAAGACTTTGATAGATAAGAGAGACTAATCACACCTGAGAAGAAAAGAACGAACGAAGAAATACAAATTACAGTGGATCGAGTTACGATAAATTCCGCTTGAGATTTGAGAATCGATCTTCGAAGTCGGAGAGAATGAAGAAATTTCACGTTTAACAGGTGATCTCTATCGACGCGATAATTGAACGTACGATGCACGCGCCACAATGATCTGTTCTATGCTGGCTAAATGGAAAGCATATTAATTAATAAGCGTTCATCAAACCGAAGCATCCATCCGCCTGCAAATAGCCCTATCAAATTTAGAACCGATAGTATGCACGTTCGGTACACGGTCCAGCGCTAGGGCTACCCGATTATTAATTACATTCGACGTGTATTTAGGTAACGGTATTAATTCTGGAAATATTACCTCCGCCGCAAGTCGCACTGCAGCTGGAAAATTCATCGGTTATCCACGTGTAGCTGTCCGCGTCGGTTTGCTGAGAGAATCTCTTCGGCATGCTATATTCGTAGTGCACCCCGACGTTGTGGTCTTGATAGAGTAGCTGTCGAATGCAATCATGTGAATTATTTTACTTCTTGCACTCTGCCCCATAAAAATATAGGGCTTCTCCATAAACATCGTACGCCTGACAATTATTGGATCACAATGTTGGATCACGATTGAAAATGTATTATTATTATTTTCTATAGTCGTTTCATAGTTTATCGTGGTTAACTTCTTAGTGTTTCTTCGAATTTAATTTCTTGGTTTCTCTTCTATTTGAAATACAGTAGGACCTATTTTAACGCGATCCAGAAAATTGCTACTGCCCTCGCATAACGCGATCGAAAACAAAGAAGGACGTACAAATTCTGAATTTGGAATTCTGGAATTTTTCGTTAATTAAATTAGACCCAAAAAGCGATGTCGGTGGAAATAATTTGTATTATATTTTCGGCGTTATAGGAGGTCCTACTGTATATATTATGTGCTACGATTTTATAAATCTAAATAAATTAATTAATTTTGCAATAGAAAATATATAATTCTTTATTTTCCGTTGAAATTACCGAGTTAAAGTATCTGATATTGTTAATTTTTATTTAGCAATGTTTCTCAATGATTTACGAATCTCAGAAAGATTGATATAACGTATCGTAGACATGTTGGAAAAACATAATTCCCACTTCTAGCTGGAAGAAGTCAGACAAGCGTGGTGAAAAGTGGGAAATCGAAGCTCCTTGCAAATGAAATACCATTTCGCCTACTTTCACGTGAAAGAAGCCACTCTTTTCAACTATACGAGGCTGTAATTCGGTAGTTAAGAGCGATGTAGCCACTTACCACCACGTAAATTGGCTCACTCGTCGGCCCTAAGGCGGTAATGGTATCGGGTGCCGGGAAACCTTGCGGATCTCTCGAATAATGGAATATGGTCCCGGAGAATTTCAGACTGCGCGGAAAATCTATCCTCCAGTTTCCATTCAGGTAATAATAGCCCGAAGTGTTTCTAATGGCTGTCAGGATAAATCACGTCAAAGAGTCAACAAGGAGCCCAGTTTTATTAGCATACAGATCACTGATTAAGCATTACAAAAGATGTAAGTAGCATTAAAACGGGTAAATTTACTCACCCAAATAATTGTTCGATGGTTCGATCTCTTTCACCACTATGTTCGTTGCTCCCATTGGAATTAGCAAGATATCGATGTAACCTGAAGAATAATTCGTGGAAAACTGATTTAACAGGTGAGAAGAAAAAAGGAAAAATTCTACATCTTATTTTCAGGAAATTGAAAAAAAAAACTGATTTGTAGTTAAATTGGTAATTAAAATGAAAATATTTTTGGTGTATGATTTTTTTTTAATTTCTAAAAATAAGGTCCAGTGGAATCTTCTTTTTCTTCTCATGCATCTAATTATGGTTAATTTTCAAATAGCTCTGGTTTAAGGAAATATATTATTTTTTAATATTATTATTAAATTTTACATTCAGATTAAGAACCAATTTATACTATACTCAGAAAATGGAACTGACAATTTCTAATTATTTCTATCGTAAAAAAACTAAGTCCTTCAAAAGTAGCATATGACTTATGAATGAAAGTGTAACTCAAATTCCTCCTCTAAAAATCGCTAGAATTCCTCGTTCACCTCATTTCCTCGATCTTCATCGCCTAAAAAAACCGAAAAAACAACAGTTCCACCTACCCGCCAGAAGATCATCCGTGTCGAACAAACCGGAAACGGTGTTACAGTCCGTTCCATCGCCGCCGCATTCCCTGCAAGCGTCCTCCTTCATATCGCTTCCAAGCATCATATCGCATCCAACGTGCTGATAACGAACATAAAATTACCGCGATAATAAGAACCCATTCGGTATCGTTGATTCGTTCTAATCGAATCGCGCGGACTCTTCGCGCAATTGTCTCCAGGGACAAAACGAGAAGGAACGGAAACGAATTGGAGTTGATCGCGGTGAATCGTGGATCGTTAACTCACCATGCATTTGCCTCCGACACAGACGTCGTTCTTCTCGGTCTCGCATGGCGTCCCGTCGATCACCGTCAGCCTGTGCCTGTAGAAGAAACGCTCCCCGTGCGGCATGCAATTCAATTCGCACTTGTTCGGCCCGGCAGTGTACGGGATCCAACTGCGAACGATTTTGCGCGATTAGTCTCGCCGTTGGCCGTTTTATGGCCCGGAGATCCGGTGATCGTCATCGATCTTCTCGATAACTGGCCCGATTTCTTTCCGTAGCTGACTCGAGCTTTTTACAGACGCTTCTGCCTTTTTAGGTTCGCTTTTAAACGAGCGATTGGACAGTTTGGTTTTCTCTGTTTGGAAATTCTAAGAGGCGACTGTCGTGGAATTTGTAAAATTTTGAGATACAAAGAGATGCGTAAATGTGTTATAAGTTGTAACAGAAGGTTCTAAATTAGGTTACCAGGAAATTATATTTCTTCTCCGGAAAAGTAGGACTATTTTTTGATTGTTCAGAATTGGGGTGAAGTCAGAGTTGAACACCTTTTGCTCAAAAATATGGCTGATTTTCAATTTTTTTCAATGAAGTTACAGTGTTAATAAATGGAAAACGAAACTTCAAACGCAATTTTGTTATTTTTAATTTTCGTCTTATTTTGGCTTCTAGAATAATACCTTAAAATTTCTCTCAGTAGTTACTAAAACACCCTATAGTATTAAATCCTAAATTAAACGCTATAATGAAACATTAAATATACAATCAATAAAACATGTGTCATTTACCTAAAATTCATCTTAAAATAAAAACTGCAAGAATAACTTAATTTTCTTACCATTTTACTTTTCTGAACTAAAATGAAATAAAGAAAAAGAACGATCTTCTCCACGTCTCCAGCAGTTGAATAAATACCGACAAAATATTTCGTTGACAGAGATGTGCTTATAACAAACAATTCGCGTTTCATCGTGTACGTATCGTGGACGTGAAATCTCGCATCGAGTGCGAATTTAAACGAGCCCGGATTTTGACTTTGAACGACCATTAGATCTCGCCGGAGATCCGCGAAAAGGCCGCGACCCTCCCCTGTCAAGTATGACGTCGACGATAAATCACATTCGCCGCGTATCCAGGAACTCCATCGGGATCCCGAAACGATTTTCAGCGACGGGCTGACAGAAACGCGTCACAGGGACAATTTCGATACTCACTTGTAGTAAATTCCCTCGAACGGCAGACTGTTGAATTCTGTGCACTGCTCAGCCCGGAAGTCCTTCGGTTCTCCAGGACAATCCTGGACAGATGAAAAATAAAAAAAGATACTTAGCAAATTTTTTTTTAATTTTATATCGATTTTCACTATTGACAAATTTTCGAATGGAAGTGGAATATGCATAGAGTTTTCCAGGACAATCCTGGTCAAATAAGAAATTTTTAAAAATTCTTAATAAATTAAATAAAATCTATTTAAAATTTTGTAATTTCACGTCGAGTTCTACGATTGATAAATTTTCAAAAAAACCGTGAAATATGTGTAAAGAAGGGGAATGGGGAGAATTTGATTAATCGTTGAATGAAACTTAACAGAAAATTAACGATCGGTATAGTTAACTCGTATTAAAAATTCTGAGTTCGATGGAAAAGTTGGATTTATATTTGATGGTCGCGAGAATTAAGCCACGCGTGGAAACTAGAGTATGGTGGTCGACGATAATTACTGGGTCGCGAGGAAACTTCAGAGGAAGAGAAAAAACCTCGATGTGAAGCCACTCGAGAAGCTTGCGGTTGCGGTCACGTGTGTCGTGTGCGTTTGCGTGCTTTTCTTCCCTTCGGTTCGCCTCTGAAACTGCATTTCACCCTATGCGAATCGTACGTGGCCTAGAAATAAATATTGTAACGTAACAGCCGACCCTACTACCTTTCTTCATGAAGAATTACGCGTGTGTATCCAAGAAAATTGGAAAATATGTCTGGTCACGACACCTAATCGAAACGAGGGGATGACTCGAGCTGTAGAACAAGATTTAGGCACGTGACTTCGATGGGATAGGTTCCGTGGATTTGGCTGACCAGCTTGCTTGTAGACCATAAATCGAAACCATTTTTCTCTTTTTAAAATAACTGAATTAGTCATTGTGAGAAAGGATCGTCTACGATTTTTTTAAAAATTCACTCTGTGCTATGTTCTTTCGTAGAATTAGGTCATCTATTCTTTTCCGACGTCAAATTTTGTCTCCATCGTCTTGCAAACATAAATTTCAATTTTTTTCTATACATAATTCAGAAACCATTAATTTTTCAATAATATTTGAGAAACTAATTAAGCAGATGATCCCTTTTTGCAATGAGCCACTCAATTTTGATACAAATTTTCATTTAAATACATTGAAAGAAATTTCCAAGTTAACTTCAACAGCCTACCATTTAACTTTATTTAACTGTATTTATTTCGTCGATAAAACTAGAAAATAATTCACTCAAGATCCCAAACTTAATATTTTCAGCAACACAACACAGCACACTTATATCGCACAGCGTTTCTACCCAGAACCTTCTACGTCGTCTCGAATAAATGACGCAAAGAAACCGATAACAACAGGCGAGTCTCGCCGCAGATTGAAAAGAAGAAGTTCCACCGAAGCGTAAATGGTTAACGAAGAACCTCTGATTGCAGCTGTAAAACAGCACCAGACCAATGAAAAGAACCCCGGGTCACTAATCAAAGCTCTTCCCTCGCCAGTCCAAGGGTAACCTGCAACACCCACGCGATAATCCCCCCTTTCGTTCGCCAGTCAAACAAGCAAACACCATTTTCGATGACCCTAGACGATATCACACGTCCCTAGACTCACGCTGTAACGATCCAAGACGCGCGTGTGTACCGCCACGGCCGTAGAAATTAGACGGTCCGCGATCGGTGGAGCAAGGCAAGGATGGTGAAGAGCCACGGGATGAAAGTTAGGGTGTTCGGGTAGTGTCGATAAATCGAGCGTAGGTAAAAAGGACGAGAAGAGATCCCGAGGGGGCCTGTGGTGGAGCACGCACGAGGATACAACGAGGAAGGCGAGGATTTATGACGAGGGAGATTTCTTGCGAGGACACGGGAGAAAGGAGGATGGTGATACGGGGTGGGGCCAAGGAGGAGCAAACAGGGCTGTTCGGTGACCGCAAAAGAAAAAGAATCCCGAGCGCGAAACCCGCGATCCCGAAACGATGTCAGAGGTCCCGCGACCCGGCTGATTTATGGCGAACCGCTTTTCTGCCGGGTTGCGCTGCTCCTTAGACTGACCTTGATGCTACACGGCGAATCGACGGTTCATGGGGCACCGTTTCAGGGTCAGCGGAATCGAAATCGATGGATCGTTTCGAGTTGCACTGGATATATCGACCGATAGGTGCAATTTTTCAAAATTACTTTCTTTCACTTTCCGTATTGCGTTATTCTTTATGTTATGGCAAACAGAGGAAGTTGTAGCATTATAAGTAATGGGAAACTTGTTTCTATAGGCCTAGAGAATGATTAAAAAAATAAATAAAATTGATCTTATATTGCACCTAAAGTTGAGGAAAATGGGAGCGTTAAAGGGTTAAACTCGTCCATGTGGATCCTTTGTATAGTTAGGTTAGCTGTGATACTAATCACAGTGAGTGAACAGTTAAGTTAACTTACAAGGAAACATTCCCAAGTGTCACGCAAAGATTTTGATGAAGTTTATCGATTGAACTTCTCTTCTTTGAATAAATATGAAAATTGAAAAGTGGAGATTTGAAGTCGGTTGAACGGTTAGGAAACTTGAGGAATTGCACGACATTGTGGAAGGGGACATGTTTTCTGAATGTTTTCGCCATTAAGGCTGACTCAATCCCATAATTTCTTCCCCGCGTGATTTATGGACACAGGAGTATTAAGGTACACGATTGCTCTGTCATTTTTCCAGCACACCAAGGCCATAATCCTCAAAAGAATCGCAATATTTCACATTTGGGACAGACACGAGTATGCGGAGCATCGTCTGTCTGTTCCCTTATACGCCACTTGTCTTTGCCAGGTGTCGTTCATCCTTAGAACGTCAAACTTCCTTCGGAAAAGAGGAAAGTGGAAAAATATACACGCTTATAGTCTCAAACAATGCTATTTCTTCTTTACGTGTAAACATCCGCTTGGTTTTGCAAAGCAGAATGCTATTTTTGAGAAAAGAGTGAAGCCTAGAGAAGAAGAATTTATTCGATAATGCTGTCTTGCGACGAGAGAAAGACCTATTTCGAAATCTTACTCTATCAATTCGATCGATTGATCTTCTACGTTTCGTTCGCTTGTTCCTCTTGGAAAGTGTTTTTTAATTGAACGAAGTAAAATGTTTGTACACAAATCTCCACACCCCATTTATGCAGTCTCGCTCTAGACAGAGTATACAGTGTCGCAGAAAATGTTATTCCCTGAGAATTCTTAATTCAGGTACCATTGAGGTACTGTAGACACTCCAATTTCTGCGTAATTATTTACATATATGAAATTGCATATATCATGATTGCTTAAATAAACTAGTCTCTCCAATTGTCATATTTCCGCCAAATTTCACAAATTTCACGAAATTTACAAATTTACAAAGCCCCATGAAAAAAATTCAAATTTTACATCAGTTTTTCTGCTAATCTCAGTATTTTTTCCCGCGAGTATTGTTTGCAACATCCCCAACCGAAAATTCCAGCAATAAAGCGGAGAAGTTAGCGGGAAATCGAGAGAAACCAGTCTCATAAATACGCGATCGAGTTTCCCGCAATTACCGGGACTCGCAATTAAAGGTTCGCCTCGTTAAAGGAATCCATCTTCTTCAGCCCCCTTTTCCGTTCCCCCGGCTGCTTATTTCTCGCACCGGTCCACCTTCATCCCCCTTTTCCAAGTCCCCCAGAGAGTTTCCGTCGTTCAATGATCTCTGTTTAGCCGGCAGGCATTGTTACTAATTACGAAATGTTTCACGGTGCTGGGACAAAGGGGCGAGAACAATGAGCGGTGTTCGGGGGAATTTTTGCAGCGACGAGCAATTCGCGGCGAGAAATGGATCGCTCCTGATATTCCAAGTGGCCTAGCCGGTCGTTCAACCACCAACTCTTCCCTCTGCCTTCACCAGTGTATCGTTCCTGGGGACGTCACTTCTGCCAGAGGAACGGATTAAATGGCGAATGGTTTTGGGGAAAATTCGAGACGGAACGTTAGGTAGGTAAATATTAACACATACTCGAAGACTCGATTCCGCGTCAAAATTGAACGTTAATATGTTGCCAAATTTCATTAATACGTGTTTCTTTATTATTTCTATTATATGTTTTATGCAAATGTAAATGTACTTTTTTCTTATATTATAGTAGTTACGAGTTCGGTAATTTATCAGTTTTTTATTAAAAGGACGATTTTACAGCACATTTCTATGCATTTTCACTTCAGTAATCAGCGCAATGGACTCGTCGATAAGGTATTAATATGTGGGAATGATAGACTATAGTTGTAAATAACTATGCGAGCGTTTAGACTGGAAAAATAGTCGTGTAAATGAAGAGTGTTTGAACTAGACTCTTTTTCATTATTTTCTATGTTAAAGGAAGTAACGTGTTGACACGGTGCTGAGAAAATTGAATATTTCACAAGGAAGAGAATTTTTTTAAGGAACGAAAATATTGAGCTTCCAAGAATCTTGGCAAGAGTAAACTTTCGTAGGGAACAGTGATTGTAAAAGCAAGACAGTTCAGAACAGTGATTCTGAGAGTTCAGAGCTCCGTAAGTGGAACTCCTCACGCGATTTTGTAAGCTTTGATGCGCTTCATCATGCAGAGCAATCATAATTAATTAGAAGGCATACTTCGTGTATTACGTCAGTCTATATTCATGCACTGTCGTGGTCGGAATAGAACGAAGTTAGCTTCTTCAGCTCTAAATCTTCTCTTGAACAAAATTGCTTTAAAAAAACGAGGGAAAAAGTAAATAACCAAAATAACTACATTTCAAAGCCTCAAATCACTGAAATCTCACTGATCAATCTGAGAATGAGGGAAATTCAAAATTGACAAGACGAGATAAATCGAGCTTCTCCGATTTAACGCGTTATTTTTGCAAAAATAAAAGGAAGTAGCAGGATGAAAATTACGGCGTTGGGTTTGTCAAACACCGCGAAACCTAGCCTAACCCAGGATTAAATCAGCCATCGATAATTACAGGCTGAGGACGCATAACAGCGATGCATAGGAGGCTGCGGCTCGTTTCATTTAGCACGTCACTTTAACGAAGTTAATACTTCACG